AACCGAATAGGAATGGCCTCCAACCGAATAGGAATGGCCTCCAACCGAATAGGAATGGCCTCCAACCGAATAGGAATGGCCTCCAACCTAATAGGAATGGCCTCCAACCGAATAGGAATGGCCTCCAACCTGATACGAATGGCCTCCAACCTGATAGGAATGGCCTCCAACCTGATACGAATGGCCTCCAACCTGATAGGAATGGCCTCCAACCTAATAGCAATGGCCTCCAACCTAATAGCATTGGCCTCCAACCTAATAGCAATGGCCTCCTAACTAATAGCAGTGGCCTCCAACCTGACAGGAATGGCCTCCAACCTGATAGCAACGGCCTCCAACCTAATAGGAATGGCCTCCAACCGAATAGGAATGGCCTCCAACCTAATAGCAATCACCTCCAAACTAATCGGAATGGCCTCCAACCTGGTAGCAATGGCCTCCCAACCTGATAGGATTGGCCGCCAACCGAATAGGAATTGCCTCCAGCCTAGTAGGAATGGCCTCCAACCTAGTAGGAATGGACTCCAACCTAATAGGCCTGATAGGAAACCCAATAGGAATGGCCTCCAACCTACTAGGAATGGCCTCCAACCCAATAGCAATGGCCTCCAACCTAATAGCAGTAGTTAAGACTAGAAAAGTAGTTTAAGTAGTTGGTGACTACTTGTTACTTAAGCTTTGCACAGCCCAGCCCAGCATACATTCGAGGACTTATACTACGTTCGCTGGTGATCAGGGCAATTTTGGGCCTTTGGTTGAAAGGTCGGTTTGACGTCATTCAAAAAATCAGAGGATTGAGGGCACCGACCTCCTAGGGCGAAGGTTTTTGAGTTTGACTCAGCTGAAGCAGCTTTCAACAAAGACCTGACGTCAAAAAAGAAGCTAAGCTCAAAAAATATGGTTGCGGCGCTGTCGAGTATGCTCGCACATGCAGAACACACGTGCGTAAAATGCAAGGGGAACAGCTTAAAAAATGTGCAAAAATATGCAACGGGTCTACAAACTCTTCATCACATGTCACATGTCCAGTTCATTTTTGAAGGAGGGCAGCCTTCTCAGCTACAGTAACCCGAAGCGCTCCAGACTCCAGCCTTTTCCAAGCTGGCAGCTCTGTTCATGTTTTCATATGTTTTCCCAATGTTTTGTCTTTGCCTGTACACAAACCTGGCTAAACCTGGTCAGTTCGAGAAGCCAAGACCATGGGTGTTCACCAATGCGCACCTTCTGAGCGCCGCTGGAGCTGTTCCGCTTCTGCACGAAGAGCCTCCCAAAAGGCTGTCAAAACATGCATGATCTACAGATCCGGTATCATTGTCCAATGGACCAATAGCGCAACTATTGCAAAACCACCTCAGTTCATGTTGCGCAAAAGTAGTCACCGATCCCTTGATGTTTCTCCGCTCTGCAGTCACCTTGACTTGCACCGTGAGCTCCTTCACACGAGCGTGAAGTGGTTCGATGACCTCATGCGGGAAGCTCTCACTCCATGTTTGAAGATTCATCACAAACGGTCTGAAGAAGTCTGAAGAATATATGGTCGGATGCTGGCATGAGATCTAATCGATGTATTCCAGAGCTGCTCAGTTTCCCACCTCGACTTCTATGGAGCTTGTGAGCTCATCCAGCTGCGCCTCCAAAAAATGCTATGGATTCAGGGGAAGAGACACGACGGCCGCTGGTTGGCATCATGTTTTCCTTTGGGCCTCAGAAAGGCTGCCTGACTGACCTGAGTCATCTGAGATTCCACGTCACATACCAGGCGATGACTGAGGAAACAACTTGACGAGGTCTGCATGAGATGTCTCACCTGCAACATAACAAGAAATACATGGAATGAAAGGATCAACTGAAGACACTTCATGGTCAGAGATGTTTTGAGAATTCGAATAAGACAATTCTGTATATATATATATATACAGGAATTAGCTTCTGTAAACCTGCTTCAGCTCGTCAGCCACTAACGGAGCTAAATCTCCTCAGATCGACAAAGACTGAGTCTTGGAGTACACAGCGACCAAGGTTGGCCAAGGAACGACCCAAGCGCTGCGCTGCTTGTTCATGTTCGGCGGCAATGCCCTGAAATGAGACAAAGACAGGGATTTCGAGGAGTCGAAAGGAAGGGATGCGAGCAGTGCTGGTAAGCATGGGATAGTCGGATAGCCCTAAAGGGTAGCCGAAGAATGCAAGAAGGTTTACAAGTCTTGTAAGGTTTAGTGTAACAGGGAAGATTGCAAGCCCTCCTGCAAGCACTCTGTCATGCGTTCGCGAAAGACGGATAGCATTTCTGTCACCTCAAGGACTTTCTTCAAGTACAACATTGCTGCATAGACACAACTACATACAAATTTACCAGAATGTACCCAGAAGTCAAAAAGATCCCAAGAGCGCAAAAGCTGCATGCAGGCTTTTTCCAATGCGCTTTGGTTGATGCTGGGGTCCTCCCCCCGGCCCTGTATCACTTGGACAGTTTCAAACTGCCCTGGGCTTCGCCAGGGGGACAAGGGTGTGTCAGGCAGTAGGATTCGCCCACCGCTGCCAAACACCCGAATGTCCCTTGGCCTCCCAGGGCCAATGGGCACCTGTCGAGGTGCCAGGGGACAGGGTGGGGAGGAAAATTCACCGGATCCGGTCACGGGATCTTGGGTGGGCAACTAGGAAATTCCCGTTGAGGACAAAAGTCTTGTGGCAAAAGGAAAAACAAAGAGAGTCTCCGGGGCCGGTAACCGGCAATCTAAGGAGAACCCTTCAAAGTCAGGATGAGTCAGTTCATCCGCCCAGGTGTTGTATTCCCTGGGGACGTGATTGGGAGCAATGCTACAGCCCTCACAATGAAGGAAGAGAACCAATTCCATCAGCAGGGCTGCCAAGTACGGTTTCTTGGCCGAGAGGTTGAGCAGGCTGAAGATGTTGCCTGAGTTGTCACTGCCAACCGGGAGACGAACTCGTCCCGGAAGTTGGCCCTGTCGGGCAACCAGGTGCTTGGAGAAGTAGAGTGCCCAGGAGTTCCAAGGCAGCAATGCGTTTCTGGGGGTTGCCATCCTTGAATGCCCACAAATGGGCGTCTGCTGTGATGGCATAGTGAAACCATAGGACCTTGTCCTTGGTCTTGGTGGGGTTCGGGGAGCCGAGCACCAGCCCCCAACATAGGCTTCACCTGCCCTCGATGCACTAGCATCGCTGCATCCCCACCAAGGAGACTTCGGCAAGAATGGTGAGTACTGTTCAAAGGGATGCGTGAAGAGCTCCTTCAGGAGAGAAGCCAGCATACGGACCACCTTGGGCGGATGGCCGCCATCTTCCAAGCCCAGAGTGGTTGGAGCAAAGACTTGGTCAGGGGGCAGCACGCTGTGGCCCACTGGATCCGTCCCATTGCCTTCTCAATGGCCTTTGCTGACATGGGGGATCCATTGGCGAGTTCCTCCAGGAGCTCCATGACCTTGATGTGCTTTGGGGCCGCCATCCGGACTCGAGGTATGGTTGGGTGGATCACGAACCCAAGTGTTGATCTCTGCCAAGTGAGTCTTCTTCCAGCTGAGGGGCGTTCCCAACGCCAGCAGTGTGCCCAAGAGAGCCGCGGTGAATTGCGGCTTCGTGGGTAAGCGAAGTAGCCAGCAGAAATCATCGACGACCAGTCGATCTGGGGCAAGGCTGTCCTCGGCGGGCCAATCCCAGGTTGGAGCTGGGTCATCCAGGCCCCTTGCCCGCTCAGGCCCAAAGGCTCCTGGGCTAGGCCGGGGACGTGTGCCGGCCTCAGTCTGTCTGGCGGCGTGGAGCCAATGGATGGCATGGACACAGTCCAGGAGTGTGGGTGCTGTGTCCGCTCCTTAGTGTTTTGTTGGATCTTGGCATTCGCTCCCCCGACCGATCCATCATAGATGGTTCGGACCTCATCTCCCTCATCGATTCCTGCCAGGGGGCCTGGGCAGAGCTCTGTCGGGTCACATCCACAGAGTTCGGCCGCTTGTTGTTGAGACAGCGGGCCAACCGTCATTCCCAATGGGACTTCCTCTGCGAAGGTGGCCCGGATCTCTTTGGAAAAGTCCGCTGCCGATGGGTAATTGTGGTGTCCTTTGAGGTCATCCAGCGGCGCTTCCACTGGGTTTTCTCCCGCGAGTTCGCTCTTGAGGTGCCACACTTGCGGGGAGGGGAGGGTGGGGACCGATACCCCTACAAAATCTGAGGGTACTGCCAATCTGGGTCCCCGGCTGTGTTTGCGAGCTGAGAGATCAGTTCCGTAGAAGGGTTGCCCGTCTGGTGTGGTATGTTGGTGGCCGGGGTGGAGGGTCTGTCTGATGTCCTCCAGCAGTGGATCCGGATACGGGTGTTGTTTGGATCCGCACGTAATCGACTTGGTCGGTGGTCAGTGCCAGGATATTGGCTCCTAAGCGGGCCACGTCACGTAGCGGTCTGGTCTTGAAAGCCACCTGAAGGCGCATCAGGGGATCATGGATCGAGAGATCCTCTGAGATGGGGTCATACTTGGGGCAGTCAGACCACGCCGTACTGGTGTGCCACGTGTCCACAGATTGAAGGTGCCCCAGGGGTTGGTGCCCAAAGTGGTTGCAGCGGAGGTCCTGCCAGTGGTGTAATGGGAGGTCAGGCCGCCGCAGGTTGGCCCCCAAGTTCCAGGGACTCGTCCGGGTTGCCCGCCAAGCAAGCCACCGCCAGTAGTTCGCCATCAGTTTTGCGGGGGCCCTCATCCACCAAGGTATCAAAAATATGGCGGGGCAGCGAGTCCCAAGCACGACAGTAAGGTGTGCGATTCAGGAAAGCCTCACTAGTAAAATTCATGGCGTCACAAGACCGCCAAACCAAGCCAGCTTCCCAAAGAAGCCTAAATTCACCGAAGCAAGGGGCAAAGTCCAATTAGTCCGGGGGGAAGAGAAAAGAGGGGGGAGAAGCACATCTAGCAGACTCAAAAACAAAGCACATCACAGTCCACACAACACAGCTCTGCATTGCAGATCCAGCACCTGGTGGCATTGTCCGGCCAGGGTGTCATACATTTGCCACACATGGAGTGGAAGGGCATGTCCCCTGCAGGCCGGTGGAGGCCTCGATGCTCCGTCAGGCCGGACTTGTCAGTGGCCTTCTGATATTTCTGTGTCCATACCCGCTCCTGCATAGCCAGAGCCCGCAAGCCGCAAGCGGATGTACTGCTTGATGATGCGGGTGACCACTGGTGTGGAGAGTGGATAGCCCGTGAACTGGTCGAAGAGCTGGACCATCTCCTTCTCCGTGCATGAGGTGAGGAGCCCCGCCAGGTGGCCCGGGATGGGCGGAAAGGAGTCCGGGAACATGGCAATCCGGACGTGCCCTCACCGGGATGAACTGGATGGGCATAGGGACCGATGCCATTGTCGCTCCAGAGGCCCGCGTGAAGCCCGGCAAGGTAGGTGTCTTGGATGTTGGTTCCTCCTCTTCTGTGGAGCTGGCCTCTTGCTCGGCCGTGGAGGCTCTGGAGCTTGGTCCTTCGCCGGAGGTGTAGAAGGCGCCGGAGCCGCCGCCATGGCATCTACAGGATCTACCGAATACCCTGCCGGCGCAGGGGGCGTGAAACCTAGGCCCGCTCGCTCACTGTTGTCGTCCTCCATCTGCTGAGGTGGGGCGGTGGGTCGTGGCTCCACCGAGACAGGCCAGGCCAACGGTGGTTCCGCCAGGGATCGCAGGCTGGGCCTCCGCTGCAGAAAGGTGTAGGACTCAAGGTCGGTGCCACTGCTGCCGCAGTCGCTCCCCGCAGCACCAGGTGCAGCGGGAGGGTTGCCAGCGCCGCCATCATCCGGGGCGTCCAGCCCCAGGAGGTCCATGCCCATGCCCGCATCCTCTCTGTTGGCGATCTGGACCTTGAGTTCCTGCAAGTGTCGCTCCAGTTGGCGAATCTGCTCTTGAGCATCAAGCTCGGAGACCAGGACGGGCTGCCCAAAAACGGCAAGGCCCCGAGCCCCTTCCGCCTCCGCATGACGGAGGGCTGTAGACGCAGCATCTGCTGCCCGGTCCAAACTCTCAATGCCCGGGCTACTGACCGTAGCCGAATCCCCATCGTCTGGTTGGGCGTCTCTGAAAGATTCGGTCATCACATACTCCGCTTCCATCGGGTGCGCCATTGCGTCGTGTTCACCAAAAACACCGATGTACTGGGGAGTTTCTTCAGAGGTTCAGGTGCAATCCTGTGGATGATTGCCACCAACTTGAGCCAAAATGTCCCGGTGGGACATTTTGTGAACTTCAGTGAACATAAAACTTGCATCCGCAAGCTACATGCAAGTGTGAATATATACTATACATGTATATTATATGCTGTTTACTATATACTGTTAATACCACACAAATCGTTGGATTTGCTCCAAGCATCGAGCTCTTAGACCAATGAGTGGCCCTAAATCTTGCTCGAAATGGGACCGCAGCTCCGTCTGGCAAACAAGGCGAAAAGCATTGCTACTAGTAACAAGAAGCTCCGAGGTGGAGGCCATCGCTACTAGTAACAAGAAGCTTTAAAAGATTTGCTGCGCCAGGTTGCTGCAAGCGTGACTCAAAGTGCCTTGAAAACAGGAGTAAGAGTCTCCTCAAGCGCCTGGCAGAAGCAAACCAAAATTCTGGTTCAAACGGTTGTATAGATAGATTTAGAACATCTACAACTTCACAATCATCCCTAAAAATATTCTCGGCATGACCACCACATTGCCTCAGACAGCGCATGGCCAAGGGATTCCTGAATCTCTGGCGGCCGCAGCACCTCGAGCGCCTTCAACACAGGTTTGAAAGCTCAATCAACATCTGAAACACCTAACGCCTCACATACCTCATCCTCATATGACTCTGATGGACTTTTCCCCTTCCTCGTGTTTTTTTGAGGCCCAACTGCTGGGCACGCCTGCTGATGACTGTATTGGCTGAGTATGTTGGCTTCCAAGATTCACAGATTCAACGCATGCCTGCTTCGTTGCAGCAGCTCCAGACTTCTGCACCCCTCTGGCCAAAGCCTCACAAAACCTCCGCAACGGCAGATTGAACTCTGTGAACGTTGCTGAAACCATGATTGATGTTGTCTTTGGCAAAGGCATTGCTTAGAGCCTACATGACAGCCAGAACTAACTAATGTAACTGTTCTATGCCACCCCGGCTTAGCCCAAGCTAAGCGGGGCGGCGCCTGGACACCGCAGGGTGGAAACCTCATCCTTGCCCACGTTCCCTGGCCTCCACGCCTCTTGCCGTGGGCTTGCAGCAGAATGGGGGAAATCCATGGTGAGACCGCCGGGTGTGGAGAGTTGGGCGGAGGCTGGGCTCACCTCTCTGCTTCGCTCATCTGTCTTTCATGGAGTTTGAAAACTCATGCCTACCCTTCGACAGGGGCCAGAGAGGGGCGTGGCCGGAGCCGGTTGGGAGCAGAGTTGGCAGTTAGATGGGGGAAAGCTGTGGCAAGATCGCCGGGGGCGGAGAGTCGGGCGAAGGCTTGCTCACCTCACGGTTTCATGTATCCTTGTTTTCCCCCTCGCGATCAATTGGAAGTTCTGGCAGCCAAGGGGTATTTCCTCAGAGTGCTTGGTCTCCCCGTCGCCTGCTCGGAACATTGTACTACCAAATGTTTGGAGCAAATACCGGGCCTTGTCTCCTGCACATGAGAGCTTCAGCCGGGAGCAAGACTGGGCGCATCTGATACCCTTCTACCTCCATGATAACGGTGCTCGTACATACCAGAAGGCCACCATCCGGACGATGTTCAGCGCCTTCGGAGCAGGCAATGGCATGAATCGTCAAGTTGCAGCCGTCAGGAAAGGGCCCGAAGCGGCCACATTGGTCCATGGACGGCATCAGCTTTGAAGCGGGTGTGAACGTGTGGGGGAATATTCTGACTTGCCGGTTCGTATTCACAGCTTTGAAGTGCGAGCTCTACAAGGAAAGTTCCGTAGGTTCAAGTCCCTTCTGGACCAGTGGGGTCAGTTTTTGGGATCTCTCCTTACTGATGGGTTTGCTCATGGCGGTGGTGTTGGTCATCCCTGGAGATGCCCCTTTCTTACGTGAAGCCGCGAAGCCGGAATGCACAACAGATCGTGAGGAAGTCTGACCAATCTCGAGCAGCATTGGCTGGTGTATGCTGGTTGTGTTCTGGAAAGACAGGGGACCCTCCATTTGAGCACGCGAGGACCGCGACATGGACAGAGACACCTGGTCCCAAAAGTTCGGATGAACCGTCTCCCCCACTTGAACCGCCGGTGAATGATTCTGATCTTGGTGGTCAGGCTCCACTATTTTCCTGGGGGTCCCGGGCCTCAGCCCGACTTGTGAGCAAATGACACGCAACCAAAAAACTGAGTCTCCCACTTTCTCGACTGTGACAATTCTTTGGCCAAAACGAAAGCAACTTCATCTGACATCTGTTCAAATTCCTGGCACGCTTCGCCGCTCGACGTCATCAGAGAGGGAGTCGGGCTTCGCCACAAAAGCTCTATAGCAAACTCATGCAGTTTCATGTGATAGTCTAACAACTGTTGAAGGCAGCTAATTTGCTACTAGGAGCAAAGGGCATCGCTACTTTCTGAATACAACGAAATAGTTTCTGAAGACTAGTTTCTGAATACAGCGCAGTTTCCGAATACGACTTTGTTCATCGCTACTAGGAGCAAAGGGCATCGCTACTGGGAGCAAAGGCCTCAACACCCTCAAATGAATTCCAAGACTTCAATCAACGCAGCTCCCTGAAGCGGAGCCTTGGACACAAGGGTAGACATGCTAGTGGCGGACGTCTCGGCCCATGCATCAGCAGCCTGAAAGATGGACCGAGAGAGAACCTGCCTGGCAAATTCTGACCATATTTTGTATTATATATATATATATATTTGGTGAACGCGACGACAGGCCGACGACGAGATATCGATGGCTGGACTTTGGACACCAATGGACACGCACGCAAATTGGCACAATGGCTTAGTGACAATCAAGCGCACCCTACGACTTGCGTATGCTTGCAACAGTAAATTTGCAAAGAAGAGCATCAAAGCCACATGACATCATCTGGCACAGCATCCTAGCTCTGCATGTCATGATAAACAATCATAAACAAATCAACAGAATGATTGTTTGACAAAAAAAGATACACCAGCATCGACCCCAAACAGCAGCGGCAGCTTGATATTCTTGGCGAACGTCGCTTGCAGTTGCAGTGCCCAACCCCAGTCAACCAAAAGCATACCTGTCATTCAGACAAGGTAAGCAAAGGGAGCCAAAGCAGAATCAGCTCAGCCCACAATCCAGAAGAGCCATGACGACAAAGGGAGACAAGCAAAATATAGCAAAATCATCTCAGCCCAGCATCAAGAAGAGCCATGACAGACAAGGGGAGGGGCACAAGCAAATCATCTCAACCCACCACCAGCAAAACTATGCAGGACAAAGGTAGACCCACGGAATCATCTCAGCCAGCATCCAAAAAACCAGCAACCAAGAAGAGCCATGGGAGAAACAAAATAGAACAAAAGGCAAGAAATCATCTTGGCCCAGGCTCGTTTCCAAGCAAGAATTGAGAATCCCTCACAGCAAAACTGCTTGGGGAACAAGGGAGACAAAGCAAAATCATCTCAGCCCAGCATCCAGACATGCCATTGAAAACAAGGAGAGACAAAGCAAAGTGATCCCAGCCCAGCATCCAGACACGCCATGGGGGACAAGGGGAGACGAAGGGAGACAAAGCAAAGTCATCTCAGCCCAGCATCCAGACACGCCATGGGAGACAAGGGGAGACAAAGGACGGGAATCATCTTGGCCCAGCATCGTTTCTATGCAAGCATTGAGAACCCCTCACAGCAAAGCTGTTTGGGGAAAAATGCATTTCACGAACCCTCAATGTGTCTACCTAAGACTGTGGCCTGTTGGACTGCTGCCTGCAAATTCTTCTCACTGACGGCTTGCGCCTTTCGAGATAAATGAAAGCGAAATGCATCCTTTCGACATTGCGAGGCAAACACAATAGTAGCGTCCTTGCTCCTAAAATCAAAGGAAAACATCCTGCCACTGTATTTCAGAAGATCTGTGAGATCTCTCACGTCTCGCGAGGTCTTTTGATTGCCTCCCTCACGTCTTTCACCTTTGCAAGCACCTCCAATGACCAGTGTGCAAGAGGCTTCAGAAGTCATAAGCCTTTTTGAAAGCTCTGCCTGGTTGAGCACTTCCAAGTCTGAGACACCCGACTTCCTTGGCAAAACATCCAGTTGGGCATTCCGACCAGATTTTTTCGGTGAACCTTTCAACTCACTGAATCTCAGCCCAGCTGCCCAACCTGACTCTTCACCACCTTAGAGAAGGTCTAACATGCGTGCAACTCCCCTATCCTGTCTAGCCCGCATCCAAGGCACCTCTGAGACGATCTTTTCTGCAAGCTCCCCCTTCCTGCGAGCACATACACAATTCACATATTAGCATGTACAATTTATGTCGGCAAAGCGCCACTCCACTCCATGTGTATTTGCGAGCCTTTTGTCCAAACCCCGTGCGTATGATGCAGCAATCTGCCTCCTTAGCTTCTCCAATCACAAACACCTTTCGAAACGCCGAGCAGGCCGAGCACGCATGTCAAATCCTCTTGTCAAGTGGCACAAATCTCCAGTCCACTTCATGCCTTTGGGAACTGCTTGCAGCCTTGGGTTCCAAAGCGACAAACAATCTGATCCGAAAGTGTGATGTGGCTGCAATAATCAAGCAGTTCTGATCATGGTCATCCAGTCCAACGAAGGTCATCCTGTAACTTAGGCTCACACGAGTGTCTCCGGCTCATCCCCAAAAGGTTCAGCCTCCTCGAACAGTGATGGTGGTGGAGGATCGTGGGCCATCTGGCCCTCTGAATTCGATCACGGTGGATTGTTGGCTTAGAAAAGTGGAACACTTGTGTTTTTTGCAGATTCATCAAGGTTTCAATGAATCTGTGCATACACTTTTACCCACGTGGAGTAGTTTAGACTTCCACCCAGCATACAAAGCACGCATCAAAACGCGCGTGAGAGAAGTGGTTGAAGTTCATAGTACAATTGTGACACTGCAGTCGTCGGCTTTCTCAAACAACTTGTGCCATTGAGGCTTTCATGCTTGACAGACTCAACTACTCAACTCAGACCCGGGGCCAGGATGTCCGACAAACGTCGAAGCCAACTCAACCAGTCTTGGTGTCTGTGTCTCACGACTTTCAGCAGTTTCAGCTAAGAAGCCTTGATGGTGATAGTATGTTATGCTCCAACGAACTTGGAAGTTGTACGATGTTGTGCGTAGTGGTGGGTGCAAAGCTGTTCCTGTTGTATGCGTTTTGCTCGACAATCTACACTCAAAGAGCAAGTGCCGCAGGTGTGAAGCAAACAGTGAGTTTATTTGGCGGGATCTGTCGTGTTGAAGCTTGTCTTGTTGCCACGGGATGAATATGAGTCTCACGCTTCATATGTGGCCACATGCGACGTTAATAAACTCTCAACCGCTTTTGAAACTGTGAGGACCCATGTGACCCATGCCCAGCGGTTAAAATCCGGAAGGATTGGCCGGTCTGAGTCGTACACACGCATGCCTGCGCTTTCGATACGCCAGATGTTCACCTGCTAAGAAATGCCGGCACCTCAACTTTCGCTTGGCCTGCCACTTTTTGCAGCAACAGTGATTCATCGCTTGTGTGCTGGCAAAGCCTGCGTGCTTTGGATCGCGCGGCCACTTTTCTGCATATATAGATGTTTAACACTTGGCACAGGTTTTCTGCCCAGAACCCTAAACTCGCCAAAGCCCAAAAGAACTGGGAACCGCCCTCACCATGAAAGTCAAGTACGTTCTGGGATTGAGTAGCAATCAATGTCAAACTGTGTCAATCTGGAAAATGTAAAAAACAAATCGGATCTCTTCAATCTGGTGCGCATTGCACAGAAAGTCCTCCGCACCACCATGGCCATTCACCTCGAAACCCACAACCAATTGGCAGTCCCCTGTTGAGCTAATTCCCTGTCAACGACCCTTCAGCTCTTTGGGGAGACAGGCATGTAGGTTCTTGTGGCTCGGCTCAATTCTCGGAGACACCTCTGGTGGAGAGAGTTCCTGGCTTTCATGCGAAGGTATGGAGCCAACAAGGCTCCATAACCTGCATGTCACATTGCAGAACCCGTGCCGCACCTCTACTCTCGGATCTACGCTTGAACTACCAGTGGCATTCTTGAGTTTTGCTTCCTGGCAGCTTGGACTCGCTATACTCACGTTTTGCCCATCTGGCAATGCCCAGACAACCAAAAGTGCTCTCATGTCTATTTGTGATAGTGTTTCTTTACCAAGGCAAGCCTAGAATGTAGGCAAGAAGCCTTCTTGTAGAGTAAGAAAGTAACATCCACTGCACTAGACCAGTGCTGCAAGTTCACCTCCGGCCGGAGAAGGGATTCTGCAAGTTGATGCACCACAACGGTCCACTTTCCATCCTGGCGATGGAAATTCAAAACTTGGTCGGTGGCACAGCTGCCGCAGGGACATGCTGGGACCTTGCTTTCGTCTCGGGCTGCGCGGTATAGGAACAAATTCTTGATCGTTCTTTGCAACGACCTGGCCGTCCTTACAGTGGAAAATGCATCTCGCATCCAAACCCTTGACAAGTCCGACTGGAAACTGCATCTCAAAGTCCGGCTGTCACTTCAATACAAACACAAATCATCTGGCTGCCAATGAACTTCAAGTGATTCTCTTTGGGGATCAGTGATGCAACCACCAAACTCCTGATGAAAAAGACGAGGTTGGTCTTTTCTGGGTTTGGACACACAATGCTGTCTTGAAAGAAGGGCATATAATGTGGGCAATCAAGTGGCATTGATCTATTGAATCTATTGTAAGCCGTGCAGAAGCTATCCCCATGTTTCTATGGTGGAATACATGGCATGGCATGATGCCATAGGAGCGTTACTGTGGTTCATGCCCAGGCCGAATCCTTACTGACTTCAGTTGCTGCCAAAGGCCATGTCCTCCTTGCATGCTGCAGCCACCACGTAATTAATGACTCTAGCAGTAGCAAAAGCTCACAAACTACTCTTGGTTTCTGGTAAATCTAGCAAATGACGAGGTGAAATGCTGGTAAGAGGCATGATACACAAGCCTATCATCATAGTATAGAACCGTAAACGAAAGCAGACTCAGACTGGTGCTCAATATGTTTGCCACACGCGGTGTAAGTAAGTTAGGATGACATCCTCGTTCGGTCTTTCACAAGACAACTGGTGCGAAGGTTGTTTGAACTTCTTCCAATGGCTTGGATTCTGCAGGTGGAGGCTTTGCGCTTTGCCACTCTGGGATGTTTGGAGAAATGTGCTCCCTGGCAAATTGGTCAATGGGGAGAAACAAAACACGTGCATTGTACATTTGCTGCCTTTGCAAGTCAAGTCAAGGTCTCACCAAACAATGAAGGACTGTTGCTGCTGTGACCTGCGATATCTGCACTGAACTAAGGGTTGATATTCAGATCTGGACAACATGAAAGACAATGTTCATAAACACAAAATAGACGGGCCCTAGCTGCCCTTTTGATATCTCTTGGTGTTTTGTTTTTCTTTAACAATTCTTTCAGCTCAAGAGCGTTTCCGAAGCTAGAAAGCATATTGTGGTGGCCAATCCCCCCCAAGCTCCAGGCATCAAAATTGTAAGAACTTTTCTGGTCGTCTTTGTCATTTTACGAGAATTAAGCTTGTGACGTGGAACAGCTAATTAAGTCAAAGTACTAATCTCTCAAATGGGCGCTGGCAAATGCCAGAATGCTCTGTTTGCAACAAGAGCTAAGGCCCTTGCATCAGGGCGTGGTGGCTGCTGGGGGCAGTGGCTCCGAATCGCTGTGCAAATGGGAAAGCTATCCTGCACTCACAAATCGCCTACTGAAAAAAACTCATCAATGCTACTGTACTACTTCGTCCTTGAGGACGTTGACCAGCCCTTCACCAGCGGCAACACAATGAAGCAATTCCGATTTTCGAAGCTGGCGGTTAGAGTTTGGTACCTTGTGGCTGGCACATTCACACGAGGGCACATTCACATGAGTGACCAGTCCAAGTTTGTCCAGAACAGGAGGGGGGTAGAGTACATGGTTGCTTCCTGCTGTATACAATCAACCAAACCAAACCAAAGCAAAGCAAAGAAAACTAAACAACAAACCAAGCAAGCAATCAACAAACCAATCAACCAACCAAGCAAGCAACCAACCAGCCAAGCAACCAACAAAGCAACAAACCAACAAAGCAACAAACCAACAAACCCCAAAGCAGCCAACCATCCAAGCAAGCAAGCAAGCAACCAAGCAACCGGCCAAGCAAGCCTCCCATCAACCAAGCAAGCGAGCAACCAACCCAGCAACCAACCGAGCAACCGACCAAGCAAGCAACCAACCAGCCAACAAACCAAGCAACCAAGCGAGCAAGCAACCAACCAAGCAACCAACCATTCAACCAAGCAAGCAAGCAACCAAGCAAGCAGAAACCAAGCGACCAAACAAGCAACCAACCAAGCGAGCAAGCAAGCAAGAAAGCAACCAACCAAAAAAAAACAACCAAGCAACCAACCAACCAAGCAACCAACCATTCAACCAAGCAAGCAAGAAACCAACCAAGAAACCGACCAAGCAACCAAGCAAGCAACCAAGCAACCGGCCAAGCAAGCCTCCCATCAACCAAGCAAGCAAGAAACCAACCAAGAAACCGACCAAGCAACCAAGCAAGCAACCAAGCAACCGACCAAGCAGGCAACCAAGCAGCCAACCAACCAAGCAACCAACCAAGCAAAAAAACAAGCCAAGCAAGGAACCAACCAAGCAACCGACCAAGCAAGCAAGCAACCAAGCAACCGACCAAGCAAGGAAGCAACCAAGCAACCAACCAACCAAGCATCGAAGCAACCAACCAGCAAGCAACCAAGCAACCAACCAAGCAAGCAAGCACCCGTCGGCTTGGCAAGCAAACAAAAAAACAAGTCGGGAGAGCTCGATTCGTAGAAGTTATAAAATACTGTCAGACAACTGAGCGATTTCCAAACCGATTATTTAGCCTCAGCTTAGGACAAACAAACCCTATGTATATATATATATCCCTTTATAGCAAAGTTTGATTTGTTTAGCCAGTCGATGGGTAGGCCGTAAGAGTAGTAAACTACTAGTAGCGAATGAGTAGCTTCTTAGGCGCCACGACGCAGACTAGCGCTCAGGCTTCCTTGAAGATTGAAGAATGTGTAGTTTGGGGCTGACCTCTTAATCAACTAAGCAGGAAGCTACTTAGTTAAGTGGGCGGCTACTATGCTACGCAGGATAGCTTACTAGTACTAGGGACACAGGATAGCTCACATTTCTTCAAGAAAGCTCCCCCCCGCCTGAGGGCAGGGGGAAGCTTCCTTGATGAAGCCTGAGCTAGTCTTAGTCTGCTCCCCTTGGTTCCTACATCTTTAGGGAAACTTATATAACTTGAGATGAAAGTGATTCGATTACACAATATTCAACCATTCACAGTAGCCTGTAGATGCCTAGCAGGACTCAACCTCATCAACTAGAACAAGAAACATCTGGCCACCAACTTCTGTGGTTGCAATCAGCACACAGCATGGCTTAATCCGCCGACCCCGGTCGAAGAAGGGGGAGCGCGCAAGGGAGTACCGTCACTTAGGGGTCAGACACATGTTGCAGGTATGAGAGTGGCGAGGTCAGGTCTTCGGGGCCAAGATGAGCGAGACAAATGGAAACAAACTGGTTCGTTTTGGACCAGACTTAGATTGGGAAAAGCCGTGGCGGGGTCAGGTGTTCGGAGCCAGACTTTGCACAAGAAATGAAAGAAATTTTTTTTCTAGGGAGCGTGTGGCATTGCACGTGTTCCTAATAGCAGGTGTTCGGAGCCAGAATTTGCACCAGAAATGAAAGAAAAGGTAAAAAGGTATTTTTCTAGGGATTCAGAGGGAGCAGAATTTGCACAAGAAATGATGAAAGAAAAATTTTTTCTAGGGATTCAGAGGGAGCGTTTGGCCTGGAAAGTGCAACCTTTCAAACCCCTCAAACCCCTTAAACCCCTCAAACCCCTCAAACCCTTCAAACCCCTCGAACCTTGCCAATGGTTCTGCCATATTGGCCGCCTCAAACCCCTGGAACCTTGCCAATGGTTCTGCCATACTGGCCGTTGGAGACGCGCCAAAACCCCGCACTTGCTGGACTGTGGGCCCGGGGCTCTGTGCGCTGGCCGTTGGAGACGCTCCAAAACCTCGCACTTGCTAGACTGTGGGCTCTGGGCTCTGTGAGTGCAACCAGGGGAGGCTCGTTTTGGACCAGAATTAGATTGGGAAAAGCCGTGGCGGGGTCAGGTGTTCGGAGCCAGACTTGGCACAAGAAATGAAAGAAAAGTTTTTTTTCTAGGGAGATTCAGAGGGAGCAGAATTTGCACAAGAAATGAAAGAAAGTTTTTTTTTCTAGGGAGATTCAGAGGGAGCAGAATTCGCACAAGAAATGAAAGAAAGTTTTTTTTTCTAGGGATTCAGAGGGAGCGTTTGGCATGGAAAGTGCAACCCCTCAAACCCCTTAAACCCCTCAAACCCTTCAAACTCCTCAAACCCTTCAAGCCCCTCGAACCTTGCCAATGGTTCTGCCATTGCACTTGTTCCGATTGGGAAAAGCCGTGGCGGGGTCAGGTGTTCGGAGCCAGACGTTGCACAAGAAATGAAAGAAAAGTTTTTTTTTAGTAGGGAGATTTCGAGGGAGCAGAATTTGCACAAGAAATGAAAAAACAGTTTTTTTCTAGGGATTCAGAGGGAGCGTTTCGCATGGAAAGTGCAACCCCTCAAACCCCTCAAACCCCTTAAACCCCTCAAACCCCTCAAACCCCTCGAACTTTGCCAATGGTTCTGCCATTGCACTTGTTCCTAAGAGCAGGTGTTCGGAGCCAGAAATGAAAGAAAAGGTAAAAAGGTATTTTTCTAGGGATTCAGAGGGAGCGTTTGGCATGGAAACAAACCCCTCCAACCCCTCGAACCTTGCCAATGGTTCTGCCATACTGGCCGCCTCAAACCCCTGGAACCTTACCAATGGTTCTGCCAGACTGGCCGTTAGAGACGCTCCAAAACCCGGCACTTGCTGGACTGTGGGCCCTGGGCTCTGTGCGCTGGCCGTTGGA